TCGAGGAAGACGAAACACTGGAAAATAAATCGTAAATTCTCGGGGGAAGAGACTACACGGAAAGGTTACGCGAAGACTGGAGCATTTAAGATTTATCTCTAAATATAGGGCATCTTTCAGGTAGGGCCAGATTTCAGTGAATACGGTACTAAATTTTCGAGTTTCATAAAAGGCGACAATCAGCCTTTCAAGGTCTCTGGTACATAGAGTTAAGTCACCTTAGTCTATTCAAAACTCCGCTACAACATTACAGAACTTTGCGGATCTTTAACATGCTCGTGTAGGACGACGTGCATATGAACTCCATATCTCTGAGCTGTACGTGACAACAGGGAATCATCCGTAGACTAGCAGGGCGAGAAATATGGGCAGACTGCTGTATAATACATTGAAGATGCCAGCATTCCCCTACCTCTCCTTTTCATGTTCCACAGAAAGATGCAGCGAGAACATAAATATTTAGTAGCTAATCTTATCACACATAGCTTTCCATCCTTTTCGATTTGAAACGTGAGCCGTCAATCATGGATTAGGAACGTACAGTAGCATAAAGAATTGATAAACTGACACCAAGTGGAACGCGTAAGTACGTGAGCTGTAAAGATTCTTGCGCGATCTTCGCTATAGCATAATATTAAATCATAGTAGGAAGGCAGTATCAGTCGATCCGTCCTAATGTCTCACCTCCATATAATAACCCCGTAATTGCAATAAAATGACTTGTGTGAGATATGAACCCAAAATTATCGAGAGAAATTAACTTAACTCGGTGCAACAACCCAGAAAACAATCATCTTTATATTCACCGCCGTCAAAACCTCAAATCCTACAAATTTATACCGATCTGCAAGTAACTACCACTTCTAATCAAAAGCTAATTGATCTTTAATGTCACAAAATTAGAATTAGTCACAAAAGACACATTATGGTTCACTTTTAAAGCCATCCATGTCCTACGTATGTCGCAAAGCAAGCGTTTGGAAACTTTCTGTACGCAAAAATTCGGTACACATATTTTTGCTTTTAATACTCACAAACGAACAAAAAATCACGCAACCTACTTACAAATAAACGTACTAATAAAAGCAACTGTAGTGCGAGAATTGTAGCCTATTTCATACTATTTTATTACAACGCTCAAAAACATGTTCTAGACACGTAACCACACAGAAAATGTTACATTTTAATGCAAAACGGTTTGGCGAAACTGACGAATGTGTTAACAGATGCAACCTACTTTTGAAGGTTATGAAATTTTAATAAATAATAATTTTAATGCATAACATCTGAAACTGGCCCATTTTAAGAAATAAAAAAAAACATCTAGCTATTCTGGAGACACCAACATTTGCGAACGGAATATTTGTTGCAATTTTTGTGACCAGAGTAAGGCTAGAACGTTGTCTTTTAAATTAATACTACAAAATGAAATGGCACAGAACTGTTTTCATCTTATTATTTTTGACTTTCAAGAGGGGTGCAAATGAAGAGTGGGGAAATAAAATTAACCGTAATAAAATAAATGTTAAATGCATTTGGTGCAAATTATCATCAACTGAATGTAACACCGGTATGTACCGTTCAAATTATTATTTAAACTTCAATAGTTGTCCTTTTTTATTTCGTATCCGAGAAATCAAGTTATACTCCAGGAGTGAAACATACCATCGAGCCAGCGAGGTAAGAGAAGTGGAAAAGAAAACGTCACTGTACCTCATCGGAAGTTCGAGGACCTCCATGGCATCCGATGAGTAAAAACATTTTTGGAGTAGTTGTACCAGACGATGAAGTGTAACCTGGAGGGTAACGATGAAATGAGGTTAGTCGTGACACAGTCTGTCACCAACAAGGAGTGACATACAAGTTAATAATCATACGTTACTCTTAGACATATAACGCCAAAGTCATATACCAGCAAAAAAATAATGCGGGATCTCCAACAACTACAGTAACCTGAGGACGAGGACAAAGATAGTTCTCGAAACGTCAGTATTTTCTTCATTAAGCCACCTTACACGGCTGGCAGCCCGAGAAGAATTTATTAATCTTAGTCACCGTGAAATCTTCTTGTACCAGAACTTTAAATTACACTGTGCATATTAAAATTAATTACGCTGTATGCAGAATCTGATTGTGTATTCCTTCAACGCAGAGAAGGAAAGAAAAATTCGCCTCATCTTTAAGAACCTGACAAAGGAAATCAACTGTAGTCGGAATTGGACTGAGTTTTATTCTTAGCTCCACGTTCCGTACATCTTTCCCATGGCAAAAAAAAATTCTCTGTACTCACAGAGGGAGCCTGGCTGACAGCAGGACTGTTCTGGACGTGGAAACCGAGATATAAATGCAGCCTCTCTTACGAATAGAACCATGGCAAGCCATGACGGACTACTGGCTGAGCTAGGTTACATCGAACTGAAGATTTGTTAGTGTAGATAAGGGATATGACTTTTTATCCAAACGACGAAAAGCAACCTTGTGTTTACGAATTGGCTTTAAAGCAAGCGATGACTTTCAAAAGGGCAAATTGGGTACCATTCGAGGTAACAGCACCGTGAAACTACGTACGCTGGAGCAAGCAGCTGGAAATACTGACATTTTTTTCAGCAAGAGGTCATTCTGCTTATCTCAGTCTAGATAAAAATGTATGTAGGAACAGTAGATAATTCCTGGGACGTACTTTTTGGAAACATCGATGTTAACTTATTTTCTATTTCACGTGAATTTATCTTACAGTACAATGCAAAACTATTAACGTATAGTATGTAAGAATGCAGTCAATGCATATGACTCTCGTTTATTACTTAGATGCGCTGTTCACAACCAGAAACACACCTTGCCCGCGGTTTCCTATACATTCCTATGTAGCACAACTTTTCATATTCAACAACTCTAAAGTAATTACTGTCCTGTCCAACAGATTTTAACGCTACGGTAAAAGTCCGAAGGTCCAATAGAAATTACGGGAACAAATTTAATCAACCATATGAATCATGAATGCGCAAGTTTATTATTTAAATGCGACACTGTGACGTGTGTAAAGGATTTAATTACTGAAATTAGAACTGTCTAGGAAATGTGGTAATTTGTTTTGCTTTTAAAAAAAATCGTAAGTACTGCTAGGTGCATTCTATTTATTTACGAAGCACCTAACCTAACCTAAGCTAACCTAACCTAACTTAGCCTAACCTAACCTAAGCTAACCTAACCTAACTTAGCCTAACCTAACCTAAGCTAACCTAACCTAACTTAGCCTAACCTAACCTAAGCTAACCTAACCTAACTTAGCCTAACCTAACCTAAGCTAACCTAACCTAACTTAGCCTAACCTAACCTAAGCTAACCTAACCTAACTTAGCCTAACCTAACCTAAGCTAACCTAACCTAACTAGCTCCACAGATGATTTGTCGAGATTTGTTCATTTTTTCGCGAAATTTATTGTTAAAATGCATAACGATAACGTTGTATGTAACGATGACCGTCGTTGAAAATGTCCTTACAACTTCAGTCCAATCGCATTAAACCATTATTTCCATCCACTTCATATCACCATTAGTTTCGTCTTATATCCTTGTTGGCTAATCTAAGTAGAACTCATATTTCTTTTCGTCTTTCTCGTTCAATTCGTCTATGATTTTTGTAAAGGGTACAGAGGTTTAATATTAATGTATTTAATTATATATGCGGTATTTCTTTTCGGATATGGGATCCGCCCAATGCAAGACCCCAGCCTTCACAATACATTTAAATGCACGTAACCAATATTAGAAAGGATTTATAACAAACGATCGTGGCTTCATATCGTGCGTGATTTTACTCTGTTAGGCACTAATTCCATGCAATGTGTTAAAATTTAACTCGACAGCAAATTGAATTCCACTGTAAACTGCTTCTAGATGACAGAATACTGACAAGTATTTCTTTTAAATAATTAAACTTGTACCAGCCACCGCCTTAATTTCTTCACCATTTTGTTTTCCAGGCGCCCCTGCTGCCTTAAAGTAAATTAAAATGTCCACGCCCAAATCCTACATTGTAGAGCATCAGCACGGACAGGTATATTGCACGTCTTGGGAACCAAAGTAATCATCAATCATAATTTATGGGGTCTCTATTCAAATCAATGTTTACACACACGGTAAAGACACTAACATTGTTTATATTAGGAGTAACGTTATCTGTTATGAAATATCAAGGATCTAATTTTGGTTATCGGTAATAGTTTTACAAAATGAGAAAATTATTGGTTGTATCACGATAATTGTGATGGCAAATGCCCAGCTATTAAGGCTTCGACCGGGATGTTCTTTTGTTAAATCTTATGTGGTACCGCCTGATTCGACTTCTAATGGTGAGGTGAAGTGTTTTCTTCGCGGTACGGACTGAATTCATAAATAATATTCAGACGATCTTCGGCTTCAAAGGGTTAATTAAAATTGTTTTAATGATATTGGCAGATGAAAGTCTTATTCTGTTCAACGATCACTTTATTTAGCATCGAGTAAGAGAATGACTGTGGATAATGAACCGGAAATTATATGGTAGTAACCTACATAAAAAATGAGAGGAACATTTGATGTTAATTAAAGAGAAAAACTACTAAAAATATCACTCATGATGGCCGCCCAATGGCGTAACCTCCCCGAGTTTGAAGCAGGTGAAGAATCCACACGAATACTACGTTCGATGTTACGTTCTACACATCATAATAATGAATTCGCACAAACAACTTCCGACTAACGTTCTAATTTCTTCTTGCTTTATGTCCTATGAGCAACCCCACATTTTAATGACTGCTGGAGTCAATCTTAAACGTGTTTAGCAACGTACGATTGATT